TGCGCTGCCGCCAGAATCAGAGATGCTTGCCAAGACATGGACAGGTCATAGAGGTTTAGGCTCAGAGTGATCGTGCGCATGTCCGAGGAACTTGTGGGATGACCGGGACTGCGAGTTTGGCACCAAGGCCCGGAGTCAAAAGACAAGGCGCAAAGGCGCATCTTGGCTCCTGCGTGTGCTTGGCTCCTGAGAGGCGCTGCTCATGGGGGCTAGCCCTGCAGCGCTTCCCAGGCCCCGTCATGAGGGGAGGGACCCTTTATCCCCTTTTCTTAACCCACGTCCTGTGCAGGAAATCCAGGGAGAAGGAGACCTGCCTCGCTCCGTGCTTTCGGCTTTCGTATTCGATGTGTGCCTTCTGTGTGATGTCTAGCAGCTATGGACTCTGGTGTGTGTGCTTGTTTCTCTGAGTTCTGGCAATGTCCAGCAGAATGTGGGTGCTCATCCGGATTACTTGCTTTCATGCCTTTTCCCGCAGTAGTGTCAGCGCCACACCGACCACCAAGCTGCACGGTGCAGGAGACTGTTTTCGGAGGAACGACCTGGCGCTTCTCCAAGCGGGAGGCAAATCCCCCAAATCCTTGCAGCCGCCGTGTTTTTCAGAGTTGTCTGCACTTGTGCTTTGCCAGGCGAGCTGCGAGGCTGAGGCGGCCAAGATCGAGCCCGGCAATGTCATCTGCGAGACCAACAACTGGTGGGGAGGTTCTGGATGCCCATGCGCCATGCGAACAACCGCGCGATCTCACGCACGTGTCTCTGACTCCACTTCATTCGTTCCATGGATCCCTTTCGAGCAGGATGGCGGGGAAGCAGAGATTGCACTTCTCAGATCACGGCGCAGAATGACATGACAACCTGGAACAGAGGATTCGGCAACCGGGCATTGTAAAGGCTGTTCATGAATTAAAGCCGTCTCGAATTGTACCTTTGGAGATAGAGAGCCGTGTAGTTCACATCAGGTTCCGCATGTACACTGCATCCAGGCGTCCACTTCACCTCGTGGGCAAAGATCACACTGGCGCAGCCAACAAAGTTATCACAGGTGGAAATCTTTCATTGGCGAGGCCGCGACGCAGTATGTAGGAGATTTGCCTGAAGCATGTCTTTGCCCGGAATCTCAGTGCCAAATGCGCCAAGCAAGAGTGAAGCCGGTGACAGGTCTCCAGTGCCCATACGAGCTCCAGTACGACTCTGGAGAGCCTGAGCGCACTTAGCCTTTCGTTCGTCTGGAAGTGGCAGGTGGAGTCCAGTGCGGCCCTGATGGCGTGCTAAGGACGGTCGCTGGATCAAAGCCTGCGAGATTTCGGGTACCCCTGCCGGAAAGGACATGGCTTCATACCCGAATCCAAAAGGTAGTTGCCAGGTTTCGGAGACATGTCGTGGACGTTGAAGTTTGCAGGAAACATGCTCCTCTGGATTTCCAGCTGCCCCGTTGAGCACTTTGCGAATCTGGAAGCCGTGGCGGTCGCGATGCCCGGTTGCTTTCCTAAATTAGTCGCCACATCAGCGCGCCGCAGTGATCGGGGGTCAGGGGCAGGGGGTGGTTGGCCTTTCAGGGGGCCGGGATGAGCCTTCACTTGCCCTGGCCATGTGAGACACCACCGCGGGTTTCTGAGCTTACCACTCGAATTTCAGGATTCCTTTGTTAAGAGCCAGGAGAATCCCTGAATTCCACACCCTGACCGCATGAACCCGACACCCCGGAAGATCAGGCGTGTGCAAGTCCCCTCACTTCCTCGGCTGATCTTATGCCAACACTAGCATCCATCCTACACCCCAAACTCAAAAACCCTGAGTCCAAAACCCCAAACCCCAAAGAACAAACTAAAGAACAACAGAAAGCTTACCAGATTTATCCGCGGTCATTTTTAGTTGGACCACAGCTAGAGGGTACCAGTTTGGGCGGGTTCGGGTTTATGAAGACTTGAACTGACTTGAAGGTCTACGCACGAAGCAGGCCTGTTGTGATGATATTGTGTTTTGATTGAAGGGTATCAAGGCCCCAGATGCAGAGCTGCAAACCATAAATCCTGAAGTGCTCCAGTCTTGGCGTTGAACCGACAAGTGCTATCGCCCCATGAGCAGAACATGTTGAAGCCAAGCGCTTCCCTTCCTGTTCGGACTGGTACGAGCACCGCTGGGTATGCAGTTGTCTCGACGACACGGGTTTGCATTTGTGTGAACTGATCAGTCATCAATGGCCTTTGCATGGATGTTCTTGAATGCTGCGTGCCTGTAGCTGCCACGCTGCAGAGGAATCCGAATTGCTCGTCTTGTGGAGAAAACTTGCGTTTTCCTGCCCCTTACCTTTCGAGGATGGGTGGTTTCGCCTGACTGGTGTCCGCGTGACAGGAGCTCAATGCCAGGCCAGGGTTTGTGGAGTGCGACTCCAGATTTTGCAAGCTCACCGCATCGGGGGTAGAGCCGTGGGAGAGTGGGAGAGGGCTGGATGCACTTGCAGTTGTAAGTGGAGGCGGCACGCTGCTCCCAACCGTGGATTGCTAGGGCTGCATGGACTGCCTCTGGCAGCCCCAACCGAGATCGTGGTTGGCGCAACGACGCCTGTCAAAGATTTGGGAAGAGCTTCCGAATCGTAGTCACCACTTGCCTTATTCTGTTCGTGCTCTCCATGCGCAGCATGAGGTAAGTTTTAGAATTGTAAGTGTGGTCCTTTTGTGGTACTGCATCTATGACAGGACATCAATCGGGCCATAAACGACAAGTGCCCTCGGCCTCGAATGCAATGCAGCGGGTGCATGTGCGTTGCTATGCACTGCACATGCTGTGTATGATGCTCACGGTGCGAAGTGTGCATGGATTGCTGATGAGATGGAGAAGGAATGACCTGACTTCTGTCCGATCATAGGTACTACTACGTCCGCTACCGCACTCAAGATGATAAGAAGTTTACCATCACCCTCACACTACAGGAGGCCCTGTTTGCTGCTTTTCATGGTTGGGCACGTCCTCGTTGCAGCCTCTCACTGTGTGTCGGCTTTACCAGTTGAAGTAGTGGAAGCCCTTTTGAAGGCTGCCACGGTGGCTGCGGTTGGCATCACTGTGGGCAACAGCCCAGTGGCTTGCCCACGTGTTGTGCGTGACACTGTTCCGCCATGCTTAGATGCATGTAGTCATCTTCAGTGGCCGTCCTGGTGAGGATTGTCGCGGGGAGGGGTACAGCGGCCTGCGCATCGACCTCCAGTCAGCTAGCTGCCCGGCTGTGTTTGTGACAGTTTGTGAACGCCACTAAGCGAGTGCAGCCTTCAATCACATTCAGCATTCACAGTGCATTCACCTTCATGTCCCGGCTGTGTGCCTGGGAGGCGGCTGGAACATGGTTTACAGCAAGCAAGAGATGTTCGGAAACTACGAGCGTGGGGCGCAGTTTGTTGCCAAGGCGGATTTTGTGTGTTGTCTCTGGAGGCCAAGTCTCAGGATTCAGTCGTCAGCATGGCATTGGTACAGCATGAGTGCGACGGAAAAGGCGAAGGGCTTTGCGCAGAACAAGCCCTTCTTCCACAGCTTCGACGCAGTACAAGGCCACTACATGTTCCCGTCACGTTGATGCTTTAGGTTGAAGTGAGTCGAATTTACTCTCAACGTCAAAGTCATCCTAGCGCCCGTGAGGTGTAACCGTCGTGCGCCTCACGCTTTGGTGGACAGACATCTGCTACCAGTCGAGCAGCTTTCCTCAAGATCTATCGCGTCAGCCGTATCAGCAGTGTTGCTGGGTTCTTGTTGCGTTTTGGACGAGTCGAGGAGAGGGTTTGTAAGAGAGTTGATCGTACGATTCTCAAATCTGCCTGCGAGCAGAAGTAGCACTTGGACCTGCCATGCCCTCAGGCATTACACTCAACAACATCCAGCTGGTTGGCATGCCCTGTGAACTGCAGGTGGGCTGTCCGTCTCTTGCGGTTAGCTTTCTCGAGCATGCCGGGTTTGCAAATCAGGGCAGGGAGACTCTTATTCTATACCCGTCTCTGCATGTGCCTGCAGTGCAGGGGACCACTGCCACAACCACCGAGGCCGGGCGTCCCGGACAATGGACACCATGATGCATGAGTCCGGTTTTTCTGGATCCCACATACACTTTGTGTTTGTCTCGTTGTCCTTCAATAACCCAGATCTCCAACAGTATTGCTTGCTGAATGCTGCGCCAGACACCCAGCTACTTGCAGAACCACAACCCACTTACCCAACATTCTCTGTATGCGAGTGTGTGTGTACACGTTACTGGACATTTACCGCACGTGAATTCGGTCCATGTTTTGACTGTCCCAACACAAGCAGGGGGCAGCAACGAGTCCGCATGTCTGCGGCCAACGAAGACAGCTGTGGATACGCCGTGATGCAGATTAGGACCCAATGCCCGTCTGTGTACCTGCAAATCCTGCAACTCTTGCATTTGCGATAATGTAATGCAAGTTCGGCGATCGAAGTGATCCATGTGTGTGTGTGTACATCCTGTTACCAAGGATTCTGTAAATGCAGGGGGGATCAGGCTTCCAGTGACTGACCTGATCCAACGAAGCTAGGTCACTGGAAGGGAAGTGACTGAGGACGCTCAGTCATGTACCTGCAATTTTCCTTGACAAGAGTGAGTGAGATTGCTTTGAGATAGCCAGGTATGTAGTCAGGCACAATGTCATCAAAGCTCAGCTTGGAGACCTGCACATGTGTGCTCCAGGCAGCTTCGTTCAGCGCGCTGTCTGCTCCGGGGTAGCCCGGATGACGGTCATGTCAATGACCAGCCGATGTTCCCTGATCGGAACAAAATGACCTAAGCCTGATGATCCGTTACAGTCTGACATTCGCCAGAGATACAATCAGATGTTCTGTTTCATCGTGTCTGTCACTGTCTCCAGCTCAGAGTATCCTGGTTTGTTTTTGGTTTGAGGATTGCTTTTCCAAGTTCGAATTTGCTTCGTTTGCCGATGCTGAAGAGTTGAGACGAGCCAAAGCGAAGTTTGCACAACCGACTTAGCATTTTCTAGTCTGACGCCATGTGGAGCTCCAGCTCTCATCACTGGACGAACAGCTCGGGATACCAGGGCAACGATGACTGGAACCGGACGAAGCAAGATTGGTCCTCAAGCAAATGGTGGAACTCCCGATCCGAGACTCCGAAGTCGCCTGTCGTAGCTGCCCCTGAACCAACGATTCCTTCGAATTTCAAGAGTGACAGCAAGTTTTTCAATTCTACTGCGATAAGCTCAGGCAATCACCAATTCCACCGAGTTATCCAATCAACGGATTGGTCTAGCAAAGCACAGTTGGCTGGTAGGCCGGTGGAAGATTTCAGAGTGCACGAGCTTTGCCTTCGAGGATTCAGTGAATTTTCGCTGCGCATGCTTTCCGAGGGCTGTTTTCAGTCGATAGTGTGGACGCGCAACTCAGCAGAAAGTGTCCTGGTGACACAGTTGCTTGAGAGCATTCGTGAGTCGAAAGTGGATGTCGATGCTGTAGCACTTCAGTGCATCAAAGAGAGCAATCTTTCTCCTCCGGACAAGCATAAGCAAGCTGCTGCTTTCATGCAGCCGCTGATTGAAGTGTTGATGAAAGAGATCAAATCTCGCATTCCCAAGTCAGAATCTGCTTCGTCTGCTGATGCTGAAGAGTTGATTCGAGCCAAAACGAAGCTTGCACAAGCCGGTCTAGCGCTGACCCCACGTAAGCCTGCTGAGTCTGAAGCCGAGCCACTTGGGTAGACAAAGGTCTTCCAGTTGACATGAAGCGTGGCAAGAAGCGCAAGGCAGAAAATGAGGAAGAGCTTGCGCATCAGATTAAGAATTTTTTGAGTGGCCGGCCGGTCACATCGCTCAAAGACAATCGTCCGAAGAGTGTCAAAGATGAGCATGTTGAGGAGTGGATGCAATCGTTCAAGAAGCAGTACAAGGGCAAGTTTCGTGAGTTGAACAAGCATGTGAACTGTGTCGTCAAGTTGTTGACTGAGCAGTCCGACAAGAAAGAGGTGGTGGAAGCAGCCATCAACTTCGGCCTTGATCGCAAGTTTGCAACACGTTTGAACATCACGAGCCTCAGCAAGTGCATCGCAATGGCTAAGTATCAGGCTGCCTGACTCGCAGCCAAAGTAGAAACCACAGACCCATCGCATGCGGTCGTACGCACCGCATTGTTGCATGACATTTGTCAGCTAGGTCAGGCACTAACCTTTTTCAAACATGAGTGCTTGCATCTTCCGAAAGCTGATATTAATTGGGCCCAGGGCCTACTTCAGATTGTTTTGCTTTTTCATTTCCAAGATTCGCGAGTGCATTCCTGGGGCTACAATCTTCGATGATTACTGCCTTTCGTCAAAAGTCCTTTGACCTGGTGTGTGAGTCAACTGGCACCATCGACTCAGTGAAGTGGGCTTTGGTCGACAAGATGTATTCTGTGCTTGGACGTAGCCCTCGAATCTCGTCGTTTCAGCTTCAGCAAGACGGTCGACATGTTGCACATACACAATCCCTTGCGACACTGAGTGCGCTGTCACCGTTATATTTTGCTCGTACAGCAGCAGATCGTGAAGACTGAGTGTGTGCGACTGTGCCAGTAAAATGATGGCTGCTGAGGTATAATTTGCTTGAGTCTAGCATGAACGATGCATTCGTTGTATTTTAGTGATTGGCCGAACTTGCACTGCCCCTTCCTCGGAAGGGGCGTGTGTGTGTACATCCTGTTACCAAGGTTTCTGTAAATGCAGGGGGGATCAGGCTTCCAGTGACTGACCTGATCCAACGAAGCTAGGTCACTGGAAGGGAAGTGATTGAGGACGCTCAGTCATGTACCTGCAATTTTCCTTGACAAGAGTGAGTGAGATTGCTTTGAGATAGCCAGGTATGTAGTCAGGCACAATGTCATCAAAGCTCAGCTTGGAGAACTGCACATGTGTGTCAGTTCGTCCTTTTGTTCGGTTTTTGTGTTTTCTGTTTTGTGTTGTTTTTCGTTTTTCTTGCAGTCGTGCAGCCGTGAACCAGCAGCAGGCGTTCCAGTGGGCCAACGTCAATCCGGTGCTTATGCCACAATGGAAGCAGAGCAAGTCGTTAGGGCGAGAAGGCCGGCAAGCTTCGAGATGCGGGTGGCTGCTCTTCCCTAGGCTTCAGGTCTCCTGTCAGGTGTCGGGTCAACACTTCCTTTTGCTTGGAGTTCCTTGCAGTCCTGCACATTTGTCCTTTTGAAAGGCTTTTGGCACGGCTGGCGGCACGGTGCTTTCACGGCTTCAGAGGTAACTGCCACAAGTGCCAAGAGAGGCCTGCTCCGAAGAAGCAAGCCATTACATCTGATCGAGCACTGCTCAAAACTCACAAGCTTTCCGGCATTGGCCCAGGTGTGAGGTTCAAAGCAACCTGGGATACAGTCATCATGATCGGGTTATCACATGGCAATGCCAACGATTGGTACTGGGACATCGACTACTCCATGTATGCCCTTCGGACCACGTCTTGATGCAGACTGGTGTTCCGCAGCGACCTTAGTGACAGTGAGGTTCACACCCACTGGCGACGGCTCTGGGGTCGGAGAGGCCCCAGAGGCTGGTGGGGCACCTTGGCCCGAAGCCATGCGTAGAGCACCTGAGGCTTAAGTTCAAGAGCTCCTGTTCAGGTAACCGATTCCTGGGAAGTCGCCGTTGGTCTGGAGGTGACCGTGACATTTTCGAAGTGAGGCGGGCGAGTGACCAGTTTGGATCTGCAAGCGACAGCGAAGGAAGTCTGAATCGCACAGTTTTTCAATGATTGAATAGCAAGACGTCTGTAAGCGTCCTATGGTTTGAGTCCTGTCCTCCTGTTGTGGTGGTGGTGGTGGTGGTGCTGCTGCTGCTGCAGGTTGAACAGTGATCGCTCACGCGTCGAGTATGTTGTCAACAGACGGGTGCTGTGGACGGCCCCAGAAACTGCCTGGTTCCCTATGAATATCGTGCCTCGGCTTTGCAATCAACTTGTATCTTGTGGCGGTGCGAGGAAGGTATGCCTCGTGACTTCTGAGGATGCCAGTGTTTGGCGCGGTGCTCTCTATGATGTCTCTTGGGTGTGTGATGGCGGCTGCTCCGAGGAGCACCCGGCATTGCGTTCCAAAACTTTTCGGGAGATCTTGCCTAAGTTTGCGCCTTTCAACATTGGAATTTCAGGAGCCTGGCTATGACAAGGCACGTGCAGCGCAAAATTCAAGCTGCCTTGAGATGTAGGGCATGACACGGCTGTCGTGACCAAAATATGTTCAGTCTTCGGCACTTGTTGTGAAGCTTCTCAGGTGGACAGGATGCTCAAATAAGCGATAAGGCCGTTAGTACCTCGTTGAATTCGCCGACCCTCGCGAACCCACGGTTTGAACAACTGCAGTCCTATCGCAAGCAAATCGCAGGTTCGTCCACTTGCCTGTGGCAGGTCAGCAAGCAAACATGCCAGGTGGAGTTTGAAATCAAAGAGGAACCTGTGAGGCATCGTGAGGCATCGTGAGGCTTCGAGGCGAGGCTACGAGATGCGAGGCCGCGAGGCCGCGAGGCTGCGAGGCAGGTTGACGCGAGGCGCAAGGCCACGATGTGAGGCTTGCGAGGTCGCAAGATCAGTTCGCGAGGCTGTGAGCGTACTGTGCCACAAGGTGAGGTGTCGCACATGCGCCCTGATTTTGTCCGACAGATATGTGCCCATGCTTCAACTGATCCCAAGATACTCTTCCACCCACTTCCGGCCTGGCCGTCATTCCGCATCTCCTGCGAAGGTCTTCCTGGCCACAGACGCAAAGCGTTGGGGCAGGGGTCCCGGTGGACCGTCCGGCAGCGACCGCCCAAACGGTGAAGGGCTCCTCGGACCGATGAGAAGCGTCTTCGCAAGTGGCATGTGCCGAAAATCATCGTACATGCTGTCTTTCTTTGCCGTCTCGAGGACTCTACTCTAGGGTCTTCCACCTTACATTACAGATGCAAGACTTCGTTTCGCCAGCGAAAACTCATTGTCAATCTTCTTTAGCTATTTGACCGACTTGCAGACCTGACGTTTTTGCAATTCACAAGTTGGTGCCAAGAGTCGATACGAGTTACCTCGTACCTCTCTCGAGGCAAAAGCAGAGGGCTTGAAACAACAAGCTACAATCTGCTTCAGGGCCATCCAGTGCCGGCACATGGAACCTTTCGTATTCGGGTCGCCGAGGTATACATCTGGCGAGTATGCTGTGTTCATGCAGCAGTCTCTGGATGGCTGCAGGATGCGACTTGACGGAATCATTTTTCGGACATGAGGCGGCCTTACGTCTGCTCTCACCTCGTGTTCAAGGCTCTGCAATGAGCGTTACTGGTGCGCCGGCTTCGGCTTCAAGCATACCGTCGCTCGGATTTGTGCAAGCACTCGGCTTTGACCACTGCCCGAGCATGCACAGAGCAATGCCCGAGTGGCCCGGGAGGATTCCTTCGGCGACTATCCTGATTGGCAGGAGAGAGACGTTGCTTTTGTCAGGCTTAGCTTAGGCCGAGCCGAAAGTCTCGAAGGAGGGAAGCTGCCAGCTCATGAGCCGCCTGGTTGAGACCACTTCCCGGGTCAAGAATTTCGACTCCTACAGGAAGGCCTGCGGAGCTTAGCGGCTAAACGAAGTTTGGTGGTTGCAAAGGCGAAAGGCTTGTAAAGGCTGGCCAGGAATCCGATGTTCTGGCGAGGTTCAGAGTCATGTCTTCCGCAGGTTGGGACATGGCGCAGCTACGGCCCAAACTCTGCCTGTCGCATCGTTACTCGGCATGTGCGCACGACAGCCTTCACGAGAAGTGTAGCTTGCCCACCCAGCTCCATGGTGGTCAGCGTGGCAAATCCTTCAAAGCCCCAAGTGGAGCTTCTAAGGGTGACAAGGACTTCTCCGAGGACGGTGTCAAGACTGTCCAAAGGCTCGCGGAAGAGGGCAGCCAGTCTCTCGGGTGCGGAAACCTTGCCCAGGCTGAAGAATGTGGCCACCCTTGAGGACTGCAAAGCCGCTGGCAAGAATGATTCTGGTGCCGGCAGTGTCACAAATCAATCATCATCCACCATCATGTTTGACATTGCTGTCACCGGCACAAACTGGGAAGATAGAGGTGCCACACATGGTTTGTGATCCGCGCTTGACCATGAGGTCATCTGCCAGAATAGGGACACGTGCACTGGCATTGAGTACGGTCAACAGCACCATAGAGGACCGGGGTGCGTCCGGTTGCACGTGCAATGTTGCATGCTTCATCTGGCGCTTGCTCTGCGAGGAGACGTGTACTGTGAGCTTTGGTCCACGGAGATCCGGACCTCGGCCGGAATGCCGGGGGTTCAGTGCCTGGTCTACGATAACAAGAAGGCAAGGACTGCACGGTGTTACAAGGGGCAGACTTCTAGTCAGACTCTCAGACTTAAATCTCCTGTTGCCCACAGGGACTCTTTGAGAGACTACCTGCTCGCGGCTGTGGTTATGGTGGCAAGTGTGGCAGTACAAACAACCTCTACATTGGCAAAAACGGACACTGAGGCAGCACTAATTTTAACGCTACGCCGCCCGCCTCGGCTGTGTAGCGGCAGGGTGAGGGGGCAGTCGATGTTTTTTTATGCTAGGGCGGCCTGTCAAGAGGGGGGTGGGGGGGGGAGTGGAGGGGAGTGGGGGAGGGGTGGGGGGGGGGTGAAACCATACCTCTAAGTGTACTCCACCCAGTAACCTAACAGCAATTGCTGCATGCATCCATACATATGACATTCCGGCCTGCCCCTTGGCTCAACAGTGTTTTAACCTATTGAGACAAGACAAGCTCTCCCTTGCGTACATACAAACAACTTACTGTGCGTTGCCGGGCGCTGCCCTTTGATCCTTAGGGAGATAACTTTCATCAACCTCCGCACAAGAGTATTCCTTTTGTTTTTTTTTTTGTGGGTTAGTCGGCACAGTGTTTTCTTGTAAAATCCCTCGGTCGCCCGAAAGGCCGCCCCCTCACAAGGTCCCCCCTCGTACCGCTTCGGCCTCGCCGAACGCTTGACCAAGCGGATAAGAGGCAGCACAATGTCGAGCTCGCATAGCGAAGCCGACCGCAGTTCCCAATCCTCCGGGGGATATGAGAACGAAGAGACCTCCCAAGGTCCAGCTACTTATGTCGCACAGTCATATGCAACATCTGACCGCATGCTTGCATCATTAGGCATAACGCCCAAGATCGCGCCTGCCTAGGATGGCACCACCTCGTGGTTTGAGTATGAACAGTTGATTGACGACTGGTGCGATATAACAACGCTGGATGATACCAAAAGAGGTCCGTCTCTCAAGACGAGGCTCTCCGGATTGGCCGCAGTACAAAAAGAATCACTCAACAGAGAAAGGCTTGCAGCCCCAGACGGAGTAGATTACTTCAAGAAGAAGATGCGTCCATTTTTCGTGAAAGGAGAACAGTACGTTTTCCCGTGGCGTTTTCTCGGCCTATTCAAGGCATGGAAGGGCAACCAAGACTTTGTGACTTGGATTGCTAAGTTTGAGATCGTGCTACAGCGCGTGAGAAACTCATGGATGGATCTCTTACCAGAGATAGCTCTGGAAGATGTCCATCCGGATTTCATGCAGGCTGTGCAGGCAGATCAAACCTTCTTGCGCCTACAGGATGCAACCGAGAGAGACACATACGCCGCACGTTTCTTCGAAACATGGAACCAGGAACGCCTTGATAATCATCGAAGAGCGTTTCCTCTAAATGATAATCTCCTAGCTCTCCTCTTCCTAGTGCAGTCCGACCTAAATGAGATGCAACGTGAGAGGTTGGTAACAGCATTGACCAACCAAGGTTACCGAATTGAGACCTACACGTACCCTATAGTACGGCAGACCATGTTCGATCAGTTCTCAACGACCAGAACGGGTCTGCAGGATCCCAATATTCGGCACACTTCTCACAAGAAGGACCGCCATGGAAGGAGAGATCAACGCCGCAAACGCGGAGGTCGAAACTTCCTCATCCCGGCAGGGTGAAATCCGACGGAATCGATGGATTCTGCGCCAAGACGAAGAACCCCTTAGAAGGCCTCTTCTTGACCTGCCGAGGATGAAGAGCTGTCTTTTGGCAGTTGAACACCATGGAGCCTTCGTTGCAGGAAAAAGATTCAAAAAGGAGGAGGAAAAAAAAAAAAAAAAAGAAAAGCGAAGAAGACCAAGATGCTTCCTTATCACCGGGAATAGCAACGGGTGGCAGCGAAAAGGACGGCCGGTTTTAAAAACAACAACTTCATAAACCGCGTGAAAAGGTAGAGCCCACCAGGCGAACAATGATTCCAACTGATTCCCCCCCTTTTTTTCCCCCAGATAATTTCGGTAAAGGCAAAGGAAAGGAAAAAGGAAAAGGTGGAAAAGGCAAAGGAAAAGGAAAGGACAAAGGAGATAAAGGAAGCTCCTTCAAGGGTACAAAATCAAAAGGCAAAGGTAAGGATACAGCTAAGTCTGCCTCCTTACAAGGAGACCAAACTGGATCTCCACAGGCCTATGAGAGTTCCACCGCACCGAGCTGGGATTCCTGGTATGAGGACAGTTATTATACTGACTCCAGTTGGAATTATGCCGCTTATGACGATCAAACGTCTTATACATACTATGCATCACAAGCCTCACGAAGAAAAACACGGAGAAAGAATAGAAGAAATCAAGCAGGATCATCAGGTAGAGGCACAGATCCGAGCGCGCACCAAGAACCCGTGTACAACTCATCAGTGAGTTACGCGCCCCAGGTTTTTGAACCATCCGAGGGGCAAGGTGTGGAAACTGCAACAGCAGTGTTTCCGTTGCAGCACACCGTCCTATCTGCTCTCACCGAGCGGATCAATCTTGATAAGAGCCCTACCTTTGTCATTCTTGACTCTGGTTGTACTAGGGCTATGGGTTCCCGCTATGCGGTTTGGTGGGGGGGGGGGGGGGGGGAGGGGGGGGGGGGGGGGGGGGGGGGGGGGGGGGGGGGGGGGGGGGGGGGAAATAGGCTTATCAAGGCCGTGAAGCAACATGCCCCAGGCATGATTGATTTCACTTTTTCACCTTCGAACACGAAGTTCTCTTTCGCAGATAGTGAGACAGCTCTTATCAAGGAGCGTGTAACTCTATGGTTTAACACAACTCCAAGAAGAGATACAACCATAGAAGTTTTGGATCAGGGAAGAGTCCCCATTTTGTTCTCCATTGAACAGATGAGAAACCTAAGAATGACCCTCGAGTGTAGTCCAACAGCTGACCTAGCAACGTGTGAAGCTTTCGGTTTGTACAAAACCCCCCTTCCGATTAGTACCAATAACCATTTGGTATTGGACCTTCTAGGCTTTACTTCCACCAGGAAGTACCTTCCTAAGTCAGGTACATCGTTCCGTGCGACGGAGACTGCTCTAGGATCCAATAAGCCTTATGTTAGGATACCGGAAGGTCGCTGTCCAGCCTGTGCCGGACAGAAAAAGGCTCACACGTACCTCAAGGGCTGTGACAGAGCACCTGAGGGAGCAGCTGATCCACCACCGAAGAGGATTTCAGGGAAAAAGAAGCCTCTTTCATCTGATCCGGCAGAATCATCTGCCAAGAAACTTGATCCACCAGAATCATCTGGAGATGTTCCTGAGCCTTCCGGACCATCGGAACCATCATCAGGTTCTAGGGACAAACCTGCAGAATCCTCTGCATCACATGAACCTCCAGAAGAAGAAAGACTTGAGGTTCCACCTGCGAAGATAAAGACTCCAAAGGGTCTTAAAAACCTTCTGAAGAAATCCCGCAAATATGCGGTTAAATCTCCTGTTGAAGAGAAATCTAAGGTCCCAGGAGCTGATGACGGGACGGAGGTAAGACCACTTGAGTCAAGAGAATACCCGGCTCCTGGTACAGACTCACCAACAGGTGAAGAGATTGTCGCAGAACCTTCGCCATCTCTTCCCATTGCTCTTCGCAGGATTCATGAAAAGCTTAAGGACCCTGTAGAACTCTATAAGCTTCACCTTAAGCACCGTCATATGAGTACGGATCAGTTCAAGCGACGCACAAAAGCCGTACAGATCCCAAAGGAGATCTACGAGCTATATGACCAACTGGTCAAAAAGTGTTCAGCCTGCCAGGAACATGTGAGAGCTCCTTCGAGAGCGAAGATTTCTGGTTTAAGATCAGAGACTTTCGGTGATCTCACCTTCGTAGATCACGGTGAGCTTCCAATTCCCGGCAAGGATAGTCGCTTAGTATTGCTTATTCTCTATGATGGAGCAACAAACTTGTTGACTGCCGAAGTAGTCCAGGATAAAGAAGAACATACTACAATGTCGATTATGAATGACTACTTTGAGAAATTTCAGATCAACCCAAAGGTTGTAGTTGGAGATCAAGCATCCATGACTCCAAAAATGGAGGCTTATTACAATCGGCAGAATATCAAGCCTGTGGCAACAGGACCTGGAACACCATGGCCCAACAGGGCCGAAGCTGCTGTAAGATTGCTGAAGCATCAGATTAAGCTCATACTTCAGATCCTGAAGGATGGTGACCCGCAGTATAACGGAATCACCATGAAGTATGGCAACCTCGTTCGCCAAGCATGTTTGGCAAGAAACTCTTCGATTAACTACGGAGGAGTTACTCCTTTAGAAATGGCCTTTGGAAGGCGTCCTCGAGATGTTATAACACCAGAGAACGCTGATCCCAATCAGTTGACAGGTAATCCAACTGATACGGAAGTCACTGCGAGAGCCGTTAAGGAGCTTGCCAACAGGGCTTACCAAGAGGCACGCCAATCTGATGATCTGCGTAGAGATCTTGCAGCCAGACTGTCAATGACCCAAGGACCTTTCTCTTTGGGAGATAAGGTTTTCTACTGGTCAGAAGATAAGTCTAAGATTGGATCCACTGTGTCCAAACATGGATCTTGGCTAAAAGGTAAGGTGATCTCCGAACTCGGAGGATCCATGGTAGGTGTGGATCTTGGAACACGCATCGTCCGTGTCAATATCTCAAAACTGAGGAAAAACTATGACATAACATCTGATGTAGAGATTCCTCTCGCGCCTGATGAGGAAACTCTGACGTCAGAAGGTTCTGACCACGCAAGTTGCATGGTTACCTTTGATGCTTCCCTGCAGTCGACA